TCAAACCCTGGCATCCTAAGCAGAGGGTACAGGGTAATCCATGCAATGTACTGCAGCCCAGCCCGGGGGTTTGTCCAGTTGGACCTGGGGGCTTCCAGGGGACAGTTGTTACGCAGGTGCCCCAGTTGCTTGCAGCGAAAACAGCGGGGATCGTTGCTGGTTGGGCGCACTGGGTTGGTGGTTACCGGCCTGCTGGGGAATTGGTATCTGGCTACTGCCGGTTGTGGTGGTGTCTCGTTCCGAAGAGGCTGTACTCGAGGCGTAGCATGCTCCGCCTTGTGGACATCGGTGTAGTCGTCTGCAAGTTTGGCTGCCTCGGGTAGGGAGAGGGGTCTGCGGTCTCTTACCCACTCCTTGACGTCGGTCTGGATGTGATTGTAAAATTGTTCAAGTAGTATAAGCTGCAGGATGTCATCTACCGTTGTTGCTTGGCAGCTTGTAATCCAATTAGACGCTGATAACTGTAAGCGACAGGCCCATTCGGCATAGGAATCCTTACCCACTTTGCGAGAGTCACAGAATTTCTGCGGTACCGGGCTAGGAGCGCCTCTTTTACTCGCTCATGGCTGTGGATCTCCTGATCTGGCACAGCCCTGAATGCATTGGCTGCTTTGTCTGACAGCTTTCCTGCTAATATCGGGACCCATTCGTCTGCAGCCACTTTGTGTAGGGCACACTGGCACTCAAAATCTGCCAGATAGCCATCAATCTCACTTTCAGTCTCATTAAAACTTTTAAAAGTGGTTAAGGGAATCTTCCGCTATTCAACTGTGCTGTTACCTCCGTTTGATGAAATCGCTGCCGTTCGCTGGTTTTCAGCCAGTTTCAGTTGTAGCTCTCGCTGTTCCCTTGCATTCGCATTCTCTGTTATGTTGGTAATCACTTCATTTCTTTGGGACTGATTGGAGGGGAGTGATGACGTGATCGCACGCGCTCCCGCGGTCGAGTGACTCCGGAGCGAGGAGGAGAAGCGGCGCCCCGGCGCATAAGAGTGGCGAAATGCTGCCTGATTCAAATGCTGCCTGGTCCAATCTGCCTGATTCATTTTTCCACAGAAACAGTTTGCGGCATGCTGTCTGCCGTTTGATGAATACTGCTGAATACCTCCGAACTCCGAACTGCCTAAGATTTACGCTTTAAGGTACAGGGGGATTTTACAAACCATATACCAGTGCTGTAAAAGGGAATGAAAATTTTTTTTTTCTTAAACCTATGATGATTTCGGACTTTGTTTGAATATCTCCATGGAGTTTTGTTTGCTGAGGGGCCAATTTCCTAACTGAGGAGGATTGCTGGAAATTGGAATGAGGGCAAGAGGGTTGGAGGAAGGATGTTGCCTGTAACTGAACAGCAAGGACGGTGGGAATCTGTACTACATGCTGAATTCTATATTATGCTGTGAGAGAACTTTAATAGCAACTATTTGTTACAGTGACGGATTGTTGCAATTTCTTGTGAGAGAGCTATAATTGCAACAGTCTCAATGGTGAGACAAACTGACAGATTTAAACTGATTCCTGGTCTCTTTTTTTTTTTTTTTCTCTTTGGGGAAGGCAGAAATTTTTATTTAAACAAGGCTCCAATTATCTGAGGGGCTTAAAATTGTGTTAGCAACCAAACTCTCCTTGGGCGTTACCTTAAAGGAGATTGAACTTGGAGATGATCATCAGCTGTGGGATTGAAGACTGCTGAAAACTTGGAGTTAAAACATAGTTGGAGAGCAGCTGGAGGGAGGCAATGGCGTGTAATTAACTTGCAGTAAATTTTTCTGTTCATAATAAGACGATCCTTAACATTTTTTCTGCCATGAGGAAATTATAATTGTACTATTCCTCATCAATGAGATTGAAAGAAGGTGAGACAGATTGACAGATATAAACAGTTTTTTCTCTTTCTCTCTTTTTTGGAAATATCTACATTTAAAAGCTTCACCTATTGGTGGGGTCTGTTTGTATGATCAATAATACTCTCATATTGACAGAGGTACAGCTTTAAAGGAGGATAGAAGGATAAGGAAAACATGTCTCCCAAAAGAGATAAGGATAAAGACAAAGCAACATCGGCTAATATGGATAAAAGTAAAAATATAAATTCCTTTTATTCACCTAAATCTCAAGAGCGATCACAAATCAAAAGACCATCTCTGGGAGATCACAGAGAATCAGCCTCACTAATTCCAGAATCCCTCTCGGCAACTCTCCAATACACCAGTCAACAAACTCTTAATGAAGCTTTGGAAGCTCTATATTTGAAACTAAAACATGATCTGGAAGACAATTCCAATATATTAAGGCTGGAAATAGCCAATATATCTTCTATACTGCAAAATCAGGCAGACACTCTCCAAAAAATCCAATCATCTAATGAAGATTTAACTTTAAAATACAATCAATTGGACGAGAAGATTAAAGCCCTAGAGACAAAGGTTACTGACTTGGAAGATAGATCTCGAAGGAATAACATAAAATTGAGAGGAGTTCCTGAATCTATTAATTATGATCAACTAGACCAATTTCTAAAATCCTTCTTTCAAAACCTATTGCCTGAGTTGTCACTTGGAGAATTTCCATTTGAGCGATATCATAGGTTACGCAGACCAAAGAATTTGGCGGCAGATATACCTAGGGACATTATTGTTTGTTTTTCTAACTACTATATTAAAAACTTAATCATGCAGTCGGTACAAAAAAATCTGGTAACTGATCCTCAATTTAAAGATATCAAGCTATATTCGGATCTATCCTTGTTGACTAGGTTGGCAAGGAAAGAATTTGCTGTCCAGACCAGTATTTTGAGGAAGCATGGAATTAAATATAGATGGAGCTTCCCCGTAGCACTAATGGTATCCTTTCAGAATCAGCAATTTCTTTTTAAAGAGGTTTCGGCGGCCCAAGAAAGAATCCAATTTTGGAACTTACAGTAGCTATCCTTTTGAGTTGACCAAATAATGATTACCTATCTGGAATAAGATATTGACTGTTATTATGTTTATCAACCAATGACTACCTATTTGGTACTAGATAATGCCTAAAATACTACTACTGGAAGGAGTTTTCATTTTTTTTTTTTTTTTCAAGAATTAACTGTGAAGACAGACTAGATTAGTGAACGCCCAAGTCTAATGGGTAGAGTTATGTTTCGAGTTAAGAATGTTTACTTATAAACAAGGATATATGGTAATGTTAGTAACTTGGGAGGAGGGAAGAGAAGGAAAAGGAGAGAAAAGAAAGGGGAATTTTGTGTTGTTTTCAAATGAGGGGTGGGATATAAGCTATATATAAGTTTAGGATAATGTCAACCTGAAATATTGTTAGGAAGTTATATAATTATGATGTAACAGACAGGTACCACATACAATTTTCTGTTAAGTCCCCTTTCTTTCCCTACTTCCTTTTGTTTGATATAATTATATACATAGGAGATTGGAAATTTTTTATGTTATATCTTTGATGGGTAATTGAAGGTGGTAAGTTAGACTATTGTAAGAGTAGTATAAGGCACACATGTAATTTTTATTTTCACATATATTCACATATTTTGTAGTAATACTGTTTGGAATATTATTAATTCACTTCTTAAATTATGGAGTTTGATAGTAAGGAACTTCAGAGATCTTACACCTGTGTCTTAGTAGTATTATAAGCTTTGGTCATAATAATAACGATTTGATATTATTCAGCACTAATAAGAATGGAAGTGGGTTATTTACACAAGAGTGGTAATATAATCTTATAGTATGGGTCAATTCATATATGATATAACTGTGGATATTTATGGGCCTTAAAGGGGTAAAAGCAGGTGAAATATTTGGCACTAGCAAGATGATATACAAGAGGTAGATTTAGTTCACAATAGAGAGGGGGAGTGGGACTATGTATATATATATCTAAGTAATATGTAGTTAGAATGGGTAAAGGGGGAGAAAGGAGAGGAAAGATTTGAACTATTCTATCTAAGAGTTGGAGGGATATGTTGAATAGAATTAGAATAGTAACTTACTGCAATATGGGTTTTTAAACTAATGCGATCCTAAACCCTAGATAAGTTGATTCACTTATTGAAGGTTACAGTATTAGCCGGGCCTTCTATGTTTTTTTTTTTTCTTATTAGTGCTTATATTTTTGTAATTATCGGTAGGTTTACTTAGGTAGATATAAGTTTATAGGTCTCCCTATTCTTCTTCTTTTGGGATATGTTCCGTATTCCTCATTACTTCCTGGAACTATAATGATTGAGGGAAGGGAGAGGAGAGGGAGATTAGTACCAATATAATGGATAGCAACATAAAACATCAAGTAACGTCAGATTGGTAATACATTGGGTTTTGGCTCTAGGAGCCAGTGTGGTCAAACATTATAGGTAAAATTGATAGCATTGTGGAGCGCTATTGGATCGACTATTGGTTAGATATTTGGAACGCCGTTTGGTTTTTGAAGAGTTTTTGAGTTCCTCCTCCTCTCGCCGGGGTCTACTTTCCTGCAGATATAGGCAGGTCTTGTTCAGGGGGTTCCATGCACATGTGTGTGTGCGTATATAAGTATGTGTGCATATACATGTGTATGTCTCCCCACTGGATTTTCAAGAGGTGGTCTGTTCCCCCTCTTGAATTATTCTTTATGTTTTATGTATTTCATAACGTAAATGTGTTCTTCTTTGTATGTTTTTATTTTGTATTTTTTGTTCTTCTGGGACTCGATTTGGGGCGTAACCACGACAATAGGTGTTATGATGGCACTTAATGTGATATCATGGAATGTCCAGGGTTTGAATTCACCACAGAAAAGGGGAGCGGTCTATAAATTCCTAAAGGGAAACGATATTGATATTGCTTTTATTCAGGAGACGCATTGGATTAATCCCCCAGAGAGACTCTGGAAGTTTAAGAAATTCCCTTTGCTATTTTCCTCCAATATGGAGGGGAATAAAAAAAAAGAGGCACCGCTATCATAATTTCTAGCAGAATTAATTTTGAAATGATACACCTAACTGGGGACCCAATGGGAAGATATGTGATACTTGTTGCAAAACTTAATGGCTCTACATATACTTTGGTTAATGTTTACGCACCAAATTCGTGCCCAGGGGATTATTTGGATAAAATTATGGAAAGGGTTGATGAATTAGCATGTGGTAACATCATAATTGGGGGAGACTTCAATTGTGTATCTGATCCAGCACGGGATAAAAGCTATAAAAATGTTAGAGATTATAAATTAGCAAATACCTATGTCTCCGATTTTTCTAAATTTCTAGACAGGAACTCCCTATTTGATTGTTGGAGGACTTTGAATCCCAGTGAGAGAGATTACACTTTTTTTTCACATGTTCATCAGACCTATTCTCGAATAGACATGTTTTTGGTTAAAGCGGGATTCTTGAGTTCTATTATTAAATCCAATATTGGATCCATAGTTGTATCAGATCATGCACCAGTATTCATTAAGGTTAAATTGAAAGGTGGTATTAGACCACGGACAAGGTGGAGACTCAATGAAAGCCTCTTGAAATCAGAATGTAATATTGATTTTTTGACATCTGAAATTGAAAACTTCTTGATTATCAATGATAATGGGGAAGTTTCCACGGCAACAGTATGGTGTACTCTTAAAAGCTTTGCAAGGGGATTATTGATTAAACTTGGCTCAGAGTCTAAAAGGAAAAAGGGAGAATCTTTGCAAGAGTTAAGAATAAGATTGGCAAATAAGGAACGTCTAAATAAAAATATGGTGAATGAAGATTTAATTGAAGAAATAGCTAAACTGAGGGAATCTATCAAAGAAAGAATTTACGATATGGTCAATAAAAATATACTATTCCTTAAACAAAGATGGTACCATAATAACAACAAAATAAATAAAGACCTCTCTAATAAAATTAAGAATAATCTCAAAGATAAATCCATAAAAAAAATAGTTTTAGGTGATAAACATCTAGTGTCACCAAAAGATATCGTAAATGCATTTGCGGAATTCTATAAATCTTTATACAATCTAAAGGAGGTAGGGAGGAGTAGAGAGGAAATGGATACATTTTTGGGTAACCTTA